GGATACTTGTGATGTTTTTATGAGCTGTGTGGACTTTCATTCTGACGGCACCCATTCACTGCAGAAGATCCATTGGTGTGCAAGTGATGTAATGCTAAATTGTTCCCTTTTGCCTCAGGAAAGCAACAATGATATGAACGTGATTAAAAGTTTTTGGGTGATTTGTTTATTTTCAAACACCCTTTTTCGTTCCTCAGGTATTGGAAAAAGTGGATGTCGAACAGAAGATGAGCATCCGCTTCCTTCACTGAAAACCAAATGTGTTCTGAACTCTGATTGGAGACCATCAGTGTCAATAGAAATAAGACACGCCCCCTGATTCTTCTCTCTGTGGGCTGATTCATCCTTTTTAAACATGATCATGTTCTCATCATGTTGCGTTTGTTTCAATCATCTATCACTCTTGAGTTGCTGTTGCACTAGAAGGCCAGATCCAGTGCCTTCGCTATTCTCAAAAGTCACAGCGGCTTTTATCTTGTAAAATTCTATTTATTCCGGCTGTGAAAGCAGCTGATTAAAACTTTCCAAATGGCGAAGCTGTCACTGATATTGATACTGGTGGATGCTTGTTGTCATGCCCATTTCGTCACCAACTTAAAGGCCAAATCTTCCGAGAAACTTTCCTTCTCACCCATAAAAATGATATTTCGCTCCACAAAAATACCTCATTATAAGGGTGGATAAGGGTTTTTTCATTCTCGTAATTTATAATGATCTTAAGTCAACACATGAGAGGGAGTGAAATGGCTCAATGCCTCTTTTAACTCCGAAAAATTTATTTTTCACTGAATTTGAGTGTGGTTTTCTCTTTAAATGCCTGATGAACAGAAGAGAAGCAGTTCATTTGAGTATTTATAATGAGTTATTCTACACTCCCATTTCATTTTTAAATTACATATGCATAGTCAAGTCTTTTTAAAGGTGAAGCGTGTCATTTTCTGTGTCACTGCGGTACCAAACGAAACTAAGATCTGTTTAAGCATCCAAATTTGACATGACAACATTACCCGAAATGCTAACCCTGAGTATTAAACAGTGTGAGATGTGATGCACACCAAAGTTTGCGGAATAAAATTGTGCACTGTTAATCTCATCTATCTTAAACTAGTTTGCCTGGCAGACGATAACAGTTGAAAAAAATCTGTTAGACCTTACATTTGAAAGATGGACTCAAGATATAGAGGGACCAGAATATAATGTGCTGCATGGACTCCTTTAATTTTGACTCGTAAACAAACATATAGAACTATGGAAGCCCATAAAGGTGATTGCAACTTTTTATCTCACAATTCAGACTTTTTTGTTCAGAATTGTGAGGTATCAACTCATAATTGCTAGATATACCCATGGTTTCACAGACAAGACTTAAGCCTAATCCTAGACTAAAATGTAAGTCTGAGCTGTTTCAACTGAAAGAAACTTGCACTGACTGATCTTGAAATATATCAGTGCCTTTGTTTTATCTCAAGATGCACACCAGTAATGTTTTTTTCTAAATATGTCCATAAAAATTACTTAAATGTCCTAATTGAACTATGGCCTAATCCTGGTTTAGTCTAAGCCCTGTCTGTGAAACCGGGCCATAAATTCAGAATTGTGAGAGAAACTCGCAATTCTGTAATTTTTCTCGCAGTTGCAAGTTTATATCTCGCAATTCTGACTTCTTTTCTCAGAATTGTAAGATATAATCTTGCAAATGTAAGTTATAAAGTCTGATTTTCAGGGGGGAAAAGCTGTTTTCTTACAATTGTTGCAATTCTGAGGGAAAAAGTCAGAATTGTGAGAAAAATTCGCAATTATATGTATTTTTTTATTCAGTGGCGGAAACGGGCTTCCATATAGGATGCTTAACAATATGGCAAATACACTTTGAACCCTTTAGCAACACTACAATATTTTGAACAGCCAAATACAACTCACCTCCTTCAGAAAATGTACAAATCTTTGCAATTCTGTTTAGTGGTGCAGAAATGATTCCCTTCGCCTTTTCAGCTCTCATTCATTCGGTCCAGTCAATTTCGAAGTTGATTTAGAGTTGGGTGTGATTTGTCCTATATTACGTATGTTCTCAGAGTTGTCATGCATCATTATTTATAAGAAGGGTACTTGAAGCCAAATGTCACTCAATTATTTGTCCATTGACTGAACACTTAAGTTGATGAGGGTCTTCGCTTTATAGATATATGAACAAAATCAAAGTTACGTGCCCGTGTCCTTGACGGATGTAAACACTAATTGTTCGATTATCAACGCTACAATTAAATCCATGTATCGTTCACAGATACTTGAAATTCTTCAGCGCTTCTTGCGGATTCCTGCTTTATGATTTCTTGAATATGTTTGACTTGGAGCTGTAGTGTGAAAGGTTTTCACAGCCTTTCCTGAGAACAAAAAATAAATAAATGAACTCATTCAATGTGGTGTAATAATTATGATATACACTTGAGATGTGGGCTCTGTGATTTAGTCATGTATGGTTTTGATTCAAATAAATTCAAGTGCCATGATTCCCTAGTGTTTTGTGGTGCAACTGTCTCTGGTGTGATCCAGTTTGCAGTGCGACAGACTAAACAAATTCCAAATGATTGTGGATAGCATGCTCATAATGAAAACAAGCTTCCGTAGGATTTAAAAGCAGAATGTTAAGCGTTTGCGTATTTTAAAGCACTTGCGTCTTTATTTGGAAATGAAATGTTCAGTTCAGCTATGAAGTTGTCTTCGCTAATCTTTTGAGAAATGAGCTAATCTTTTGAGAAAAGATGGATGAAGTTCTGTTTGTGTAATTTCCTTGGGCGTGGAAGGTATCCATTAAAGGGGTCATATGATGTTGCTAAAAAGAACATTATTTTGTGTATTTGGTGTAATGAAATGTTTATGCGGTTTAAGGTTCAAAAAACACATTATTTTCCAAATACTGTACATTATTGTTTCTCCTCTATGCCCCGCCTTTCTGACACGCATCGATTTTTACAAAGCTCATCGTTCTGAAAAGCGAGGTGTGCTGTGATTGGCCAGCTGTCCAGTGCGTTGTGATTGGCCGAATACCTCAAGCATGTGACGGAAATGTTACGCCCCTTGCCATATTGTGATGCCTTGTCCCGGTCGGAGCGACGAGACAAAAACATGAAAACCCATTATAAACGAGACATATGTTGTATCCAGTGGGGACATAATTACGGATTATAATGATAATGATAATAACGATTGCATCGCCCCACGTAAACATAAAACCATGTCTGCATTTGTGATCGGAGAAATGACAAACTACAAACGCTACGTTACTCTACACTGCTCAAAACATCGTCAGTGGCAAATTCTTTAAATATAAAAAACGTACTTACAGTCTGTGAGTCAGAACAGCCGGCATTGTAGTCTACTCTCCCAGGATCAGGAAACAGTCCTCCATATGCACCAAGAGCTTGGAAAGCTCCAAAGAGAAAAGAAAAATTTAAATCGCATCATATGACCCCTTTAATTTTGTGAAAGATTGGGTGACAGCACTTATTTTTATACAGTTCTAAGTATTATCAAGACCAATACTTCCAATACAAATACTGATAATTCTGTGTATATGTATGAATTCTGTATTCTATGTATAAAATTGGTAATTACAGCCGTTTTATTAAAAGCTGTCATCATTAACAGTAAAATAGCAAAGTATGAGACAAAATCCCATTATTTGGAGGACAGAAGGCATTTAGTAGATTGTGTACAACAGAAATTTCCATATCCAATATGATACTGTGGGCATCACGGTAAAAGTCAACATCCAGATTAGGTCAAAATGAACAGGGTAGAGTTTCTCTAAAGCAGGGGTGTCAAACTCAATTCCTGGAGGGCCGGAGCCCTGCATAGTTTAGATTCAACCCTAATTAAACACACCTGATCCAACTAATCAAGTTTTTGAGGCTAATTTGAAAGCTACATGGTATGTGTGTTGAAGCAGGGTTGGAACAAAACTCTGCAGGGCTCCGGCCCTCTAGGAATTGAGTTTGACACCCCTGCTCTAAAGCATCATGAGATAAGTTGATCCTAGAGACCATTGGTGGCAATGGATCTATGATCTACTTAGGCTTACAATGTTTCTGAGAAACGCAGCCCAGATTTTTTATATGGAAACTGGGGATATGTTATAGTTTTATTATCCAAAAATTGAGAAAAAAAATACAATACAAAAATACGCCTTATACAATACTGACTGTGTCAAAGCAGCTTTACAGTTTCAACAGGAAAATAGTTTGTCAATAACGCAAGAGAACAATGACAAAGAGTCATTTTTCCAGCTAAAGTCAATTCATTGTTAATTCAGTGATGTCATCATCCAGTTCAGTTCTCTTCCAATAGTTTCTGTGCAATCAGTCAAACGTCCCCAAAGCCAAAGGCAACAGTGGCAAGGAACCAAAACTCCACCGGTGACAGAATGGAGGAAAAACCTTGGTAGAAACCAGGCTCAGTCAGGGGCCAGTTCCATATACTAATATTATAATTAGTACTTATGATGTTTACAGGTCAAACTGAGTATAATTTGTTTTAATACAATGAAAAATAGTAAAGAGTAACCACAAATCAAAACATTATAACAAACTATATATATAGAAGCTTATTTATTCAGGTTTCAGATGTATAAACCTCAATTACAAAAAAAAGAAGATCCTTATGACTGGGTTTGTTGTTCTGGGTCACATTTTAATTTCCACAAAATGTGAATATGCTGTATACAGTTATTACAGCGGTTTTAGTTCTTTTTACAAATGTAACCCTTATAACGTGCTTGATCAGTAAGTCAGTATATATTTGTTTGATAATCTTGTTGTTTTTACACCTCGTATAACGCATATTTAAATTTTGCTCATAATGTTCGGTGATTTTTCCCCTCACGATGGGCCTAAACTTCAGCGTAGTCGCCTGACATCTGTTACTTTTCTCAGCGCTGGTCAGGACAGGCCAATCACAGGCGACGCCCCTCCCCCCAGCTCTTTTAACACTGAAACGGAAGCGGGTTTCACCATGTGACGTCATTTCCACCTGCTCCATTAGCCGCCGTTTCCTTTGTTAGGACAAGTACAAAAACTTGGGCACGCATTTCAAGCTACACTCTGCTGCACGTGTTGTTTGAGATCTCTGCAGAAGTCCCGTAAGCCGCGAGCGACATGGATGCTAATAACAGCAACGCTAAGCGTAAGAACAGCGTCGGAGACGGTAAATATCTGCCGGAGTTACTGGCGGAAAAAGACAGCCTGGACTCCTCATTCACGCACGCCATGAAGCTCCTCTCTGCAGGTCAGTGCTTCTTCATTCAGTATTAAACAATTCACACAGAACTCCTGACTGTAGCTTCTGTAATTCTTATGAAATAGTGAAGTCAGGACCTTTGACCGCTGGTTAGTTCATATTCAGCACGTGCGTCGGTGAAGCGCGCGTTGCAGGCCGCATGCACTGGATTTGGGCGTTTGGGCCTTGTTGCGTTTTCATTGTTCGTGTTTTGTTTTATGCTCTGCTGTAATTTGAGTTTGCTGTTTTGCATTGTTGTTTAATTTTGGAGATGTGGAAAGTAATTTTGTACCATAGACTAAAAAAAAAAAAAAAACGCGCGGCGCCGGGAGGTTTGGCTCACACCCTATAATTGCCATAATTGCCTTGTTACGAATAGGATAAAACTAGGTCAAATTGTAACCATTTAAAAAAAAAAAAAATTGTTTAATTCGGCCTGAGGTGCTGAATTTGCACACATGCAAATGTGTGAAATGTGCATGCGATTTTAATAGGGAATAGCATGAGCGTGACATCTCCTGATGCATTTAGACTCATTACACATTATAGGGAACAGCATGGTTGAGGATCCCCCCCCCCGAAAGTTGCGTGTATGTGGCTCACTTTGGCCAGCAGCGTTTGCATTTCCTTTGTGGAGAAAGACAATCCCATGATGCATTGCTTCAAGGTCTGTGGGAGGGAAAAGAATCCCAGGATTGCAGACAGAAAAGCATGGGTTATAAATGAACCAATTCCGTACTGACTTTTTTTTTTACGCAAAAACAACATTTTTACGCGAAATGTGTTGTGTAATTAATAGTTAGGGCATTCCACCGATTCCGGAAAGTGCTAATTGTTTTTCCCTCCAATTTCATTGAATATCTGGATTTCCCCACTGCCTTCTGTTTTATGTTTCTTGAAGTAGAGAAAATAGTTATGTTGTTATTGTAGATGTTATTAATAAGACGTTTTTCTCTCTTAGTATCGTTTTTATTATTTATTGGACTAAATTATTTTGTTTGTGTAACTTTTTTTCTTGTGAGTGTAAAAGCCCTGCATGCTTGCATTGTTGCATTAGTCTATCGTGTTTGATTCCTTGTTAAAGTCAAGTCTGGCTGTGATGCATTGCCCAGAAAATGTGTTATGGTTTCAACCACAAAGCACAGTCAACATTGTAGAACAATTTTATGCTTGCTTACCTACATCCATTAAATGGATTGATGCATGTAATGGAAATGCAAGTCTGCCCAGTCATCTGTGGTTCGGTCCACCAAGACAGTAACTGGTTCCACATGACAACACTGCATTTGCAAATTACTGGTTGCATTGCTATGTTATATATATGTATATGTATATGTGTGTGTGTGTGTATTTTTTTTTAATTTGCACCTAGACATTAAGTCAGTGCATATGACAGTTTGCTCTGAGCTGATCTTGTGTTTTCTTTTGCAGAGATTGAAAGGGTCCAGAAAGGTGAGCCTAAAAAAGAGTCTGAGACGTATCTGGATCTGTTAACCGCCAAGAACGTGAGGGTGAAAGAGAGAGTGCTCATTCCTGTGAAGCAATACCCTCGGGTAAGTCATTACACTCTGTCTGGGTTTTGTCTGTACATTGCAAGGACCTGTTGTTGGTTAACAAATAATTTCTCAATATTTCCCCTCAGTTCAATTTTGTGGGAAAGATTCTGGGGCCGCAGGGCAGCACCATCAAACGTCTGCAGGAGGACACCGGCGCGAAGATCTCAGTGCTGGGCAAAGGATCCATGAGAGATAAGAACAAGGTAATGAACCAGGCTGCATCACTAATGTGTTTACTGTTGAATGACCTGGTTAATAAAGATTAAATCGTGAAACCTGCAGGAAGAGGAGCTGAGGAAGGGTGGAGATCCGAAGTATGCACACTTGGCCATGGAGCTGCATGTGCACATCGAGGTTTTTGCTCCAATTCCTGATTGTTATCTGCGTATGGCTCATGCCATGGATGAGGTCAAGAAGTTCCTAATGCCTGTAAGTGTGAATGCAAGCAAATTGGTGCTTTACCCCATTACTATTTTTCATATTTTTATCACTTGTTTCATTTTAATTTATTATCTTCATTTTAATATAACGTTTAATTGTGCATGCTCATTTTCCATGTTTTTAACAAAACAAAACAAAAACACCCAAATGTCTAGTAAAATTCTCAGAAGTGGAAGTTGTCATTGTTGGATCAACTGGTGAACAGGAACTACAATATTTTTAGCGGTCCCATTTGCTCCACTTACAAAAGTGAAAAAAAAACCAATCCATGATAGCATTTCTATGGCTAAGGTAATTAAAAAAATATTGAGTGAATTTACATTGATCAGAAAAGAGAGAAGTATTAGAACAAAGTATAGTGTTATAAATGTCCATTACATGTTTTTAAATGAAAATATGAAAAAATACAATGTTAATAACTAGAAATGTCATCTCAGTCTGTGAACTTTTTTTTTTTTTGATTGTCTAAATTGAAATTAACTTTAAAATAATAGCGTTAATAACTCAATTTAACATTGTTGCAACCACACTCACATTTATATTTACATCTTTAATATGTATCTTTTAATGGACTTTCACTGGAGCTGTAATAAATCTGCTGTTTAAATCCATTTGAAATGAAATTAAACTATTTAATGATGGTTAACTGATCAGCCTGTTTTATCCTTTTTCTTGTGTGTCAGGTGGAAGGGTTTGAGGAGATGCACCCGGATGCATTCATGGATCCAGGGTTTCTGAACGGCTCTCAGGATATTCATGGCCCTGGCAGAGGTCTCCCTCCTGGCCGAGGCCGTGGTGGCCCACCACCCCCAATGGGACCTAGGTGAGAGAGCTATATCAAATATATAATCTGTTACACAACGTGCATCTCAATTATTTTGTCTCACGTATTGTGAACAATTGTGAGTATTTGGAGTACATATGTAGTAATCCATATATATATATATATATATATGTATGTATGTATGTTGTTGTACTCAAAGGGGTCGTGGTATGCCGCCTCGTGGAGCACCACGTGGAGGAGCACCAAGAGGAGGTCCAGGGCGTGGAGCTGCAGCGAGGGGAGCCCCCGCTGGAAGAGGTGGCCCTCCATCCCAAACACCAGCCAGAGGAGGCACAGCCGCTCGCTCAAGACCACCAGCCTCGACTCAGAGGATGACACCAGCATCCGCTCTCTCCCACCAACAGCACCCAGCCAAACCTGAAACCTATGGTGAATATGTAAGTCAATGTCCACAACACCATGGTTACCTTTAACTGTTATATACAGTATACTGCCTTTCAGAAGTTTGGGGTTGGTATGGTTTTTTTTTTTTTTTCCAGATTAAATTGATTAAAAGTGACTCAGACATTTAGAATGTTACAAATATTTCTATTCCAAATAAATGCTGTTCTTTTGACCTTTCTGTTCATCAAACAAACTTGAAAAACACAATTTTCATAAATCACACATCACTTTCAGCCTTTTTTTTTTTTTTTTTCAAGCTGCATTTTGAAATTAGTTTTTGAATTTCAATATTTCACAATATACCTGTTTTTACTGTATTTAATCAAACATTCAGCTTTAGTGAACATAATACATTTTTAATTACCAAAAAAAAGAGGAAATAGTAACCACCCCAAACTTTTGAATGGTCATGTACTACAAGACTCTTTGGCACATGGTTTTATAATTAAATTCACATTTTGGTGCAATACTAGTTTATGACTGCATTTCCTTTATTTGACTACAAAAACTCATTTAGACTTAAAGGGGTCATATGATGCTTTTTTAAATATCATTATTTTGTGTATTTGGTGTAACAGAATATGTTGACATGCTTTAATGTTCAAAAAACACATTATTTTTCAAATTTGGTTTTGAGACTTTAGTCTTTGCAACTTCAGGGATCTTATCTATTCACGAACAGCTTGTAAAACTCCAAAGAGAAAGGAAAACTTGAAATTGCATCATATGACCCCTTTAAGTAACCAACCAGTCTGTTGGAATCGGCCAGTATTTTGTTAAACTTAAATTCAAAAGTCAGTTAAAAGAACCATTTGTTTGTGACTCGGACCACACTGGTAGCTCTGTATGCCGTTTTTGCTCTGCATTTAGCATTAGAAGAGTCTCTTTTATTGTATTACATTTGCTACCCCTTTGTAGAAACAGGCGTTTCCTATTTCCAGTGAAAAGACCAAAAACGTAGCAAATATTCTATAGAGAAATTTTCAGCTCGTGATACATCTCCATGTGTTCTGTGTTTTCTCAGGCATATGAAGAACCATACGCAGAGCCTTCCTATGAAGGGTATGAGAGCTACTACAGTCAGCCTGCTCCACAGCAGTGAGTGCTGTTTGCTGCTTTTTTTCCTCTAAATTTGTAGTGACTTTTTTTTTTTTCTTTGATTTCATTTCTATGAATCTCTTCATGCATTTCCAAGTTGCAGCAACATTGATCACCGTTTCTCAGAAGCCATGTAATTTTCTTCTCATCCAATGTCTTGCCTTCAATTACTTTTAGAACTTTGTACAAAACTGCTTTTAACCCCCCCCCCCATCTCTCTCTTTCTCAGAGACACAGAGTATTATGATTACGGTCACGGAGAGGAAAAAAAAAAAGGCAAAAGAAACAATGTTTTGTTCAACCAAATCACTCAGCGCAAAGGCTTTTGTAGCCCAGGAAGAAAGTTTGACCATGAAGATACAAATGTTGCATTCGCTGGCTTAAAAAAAACTACAAAATTGGAAAAGGCGGCGTAAAGTGTAATGCAAGCTTCAAAAAAGGTAAAAATCAACCCTAAATTTCTCTTGGCACAAATGTTCACTTACTCATTTCTACACAATCATTGCAAATTCAAATTCCGTTGTTTGCAAATTCAAAAGTCAATTTTCCCTAACCTGGCTAATGCATCCTAAAACATTCATTTTTTTATTTATTTTTTAAACTTGGTGTGTAATTTTATATGCAACTCTTGTTTTAAAAACCAATTAGATTGTAGATTTTAATCAAAATTACACTTCTTAAAAAGTGTTCTTGTAGCTGTACAAAATAGACAAAAAATGTCCTCCAATCTAACAAGCATGTAATGAGATGTGTGTAGAGTTGGACTTGTTTGTGAAAGTGAGTTGTTGATTTGTGAGGTCTTGTGTACTAACTCATCTTTTGTGCTACTCAGCGACTGATGCCGAGAGGTTCTTTCCAGGCTGGCTTTACCAGGCAGCTGCTACAGGTGAATTGTTTGTGTATATATGCATAATTAACCACTTGCAAGCATGCAATATTTTAAACAAGCAAATGCGAAAAGTATCCTTGGTAAATTGTACATGAATAAGAATTCTATGTAACATCTTTAGTTAACTGGATCTGTGATTTTGAGTGTCATGAAACTGTCATTTAGTCAAAAATGGCTTATAAATCGCTCTATGCTATATTATCACCAAATCTTGGATTCAATCTTTTTTGTCAACTTGTTTTCTTTCAGTTAGCACAGGTTTTGCATTTCTTTTTGGAGCTGATTGGTCATAAGCCTCATTAATCTGAGCCTGTGCACGTCAGTTTTTGAGTGAAAATGCATTATTTGTGGTTAATTTTGGCAGTTCATTCAAAAACTGAGGTGCAGCTCAAATCAATAAAGACTAAGATCAGTCAGTTCCAAAAAGAAATTAATCCAATATTTGATAATGATATGTCATAAGGAATTTAAAAGGTATTTTTTGTTGGCCAATCACCACAAGTGTAACCAGGTGGGAAAATGATCCATTTTTGGGAGGGGAAGTTTTGTTATACCCTATGTGAGCAAGTCAGCATGTTTTAGTCCAGTGAAGTGACATTAACTAGAATTTGTGGCAAAAAGATCCTCTTGATCAAAATGATTAACAAGAGGATTAATCTTGATGTAAGCACCCCCCCACCAAATTCCTTCATGTTTCACATATTTAGTAACCATGATACTGAAAGGTCTATTTTGCTTGTGATCTGAATCCTGTTAAAACGGTCGCCTTCTATTATGGTCTTTTAGGTTCATTTCCTGAATTTTGGTTTAAAATGGTTAATTGTCCAAATCTGTCCATGTAATCTAGTGCTGAACTCTATAACCTGGGTTGCCAGGTTTTCACAACAAAACCTGCCAAATTGCTACTCAAAACGTTTCGAGGGGGGTCCCTCGTTTTATGGCGTGGTTCTCTTGGTAAAATACGCATTTTAGGGGCCAAATATCACGTTATTGTGTTTGCTTAAACCTGCGGACATGGAAAAACAACCTGCGGAAACGGTGTTATTATAAAACGGATAGTTCCAATCCTTGATTCTGATTGGTCGAGCCAAGTTCGAAGCTGTTGTAAATTACTCCACAAACATACACCTTTGTTTACATTTGTGTGTTGCTGGACAACCACTTTGTTGGAACCACAACCGTTTCTGAGGAACTACGTTGTTTGGCGGAAGAATAATGTTTTTATTAATATCATTAAACTTTATTTGCTCGGTTTTATTTTGTGAAACCTTACTGCATATATGGAATAACTGTTTTATAAAAGCCCCGTGAAGCCGTGGTTTACAGTGAATTTATAATAGCTAAGGGGGGTTGTAGGCACTCCGCTTTGCTTCTTGGGGCTTATTGCTTTAGTAGCCCAATTCCGCGGGAAAACTGTGGACTTGGCAACATTGTGACTATAGTACAACTACAACATGATACTGGGTGGAGATCCAGTTTTCTATTGTGAGTTATTTCATATCTTATCTTGTAGCCAGCAGAAAAACTATATGCACACGGTCAAATGCAGGGCAAAACCTCCTCAAAAAATCTTTATGCTTAATCAGAGGCCGTAAAAAAGTGCAAACGTTTTTTCACGAAAGTGTGTTCACGGTGTGTGTGTTCACTGCTGTGTGTGTGCACTTAGGATGGGATAAATGCAGAGCACTAATTCCTAGTATGGGTAACCATACTTGGCCACGTCACGTCAACTTCACTTTGGTCCAATAAATTTGGACTTTTCCATGATTCTTCCAGTATTGGAACCCTGACAATGGATATGCATTATTTCGACAGTATTTATATATTAATGTGATGTTTATATATTAAGTTGTTAGAAAAGTGCATTTTGTTTGTGTAGCACCAAAGTTCCCTCAGTGGGTGTTTTGGGAGTTCTTTTGGAAAGGCGTTTTCTATCTAGGTAATTGTCATGCATGCTTGTACAGCTCCTTAATCTTTAAGGGAGTAAAGACAAAGTCTGCGTCCCAATGTGTATACTATCCATCCTAAATTCTGTGATATTAGTAATTTTTAATACTATTAAAAAATACTATTTAGGGCAGATAGAGTGGATGGTACGCAGGGCAAGTCTCCGAGACCTATTAAGATTGTGTTCAAATGTGACACTGCGTATTACTTTTGTATACTTTGTCTAAATTTTAGGCCTAAAAGTTATCGTCTCTAAAAACTTTAACATTTTAATCAGTTCTCTCTGTGTTGCAGGCTTTTGGTGTCATTTTGTACCGAAGAGGAAAATGACGGCGCCTTTTTATACAATCACTTGTGACACAGGAATGTTTAGTGAATGTTTGTCTTTTTTTTTTTTTTTTTTTTTTTTTTTTTTTTTTTTTTT